CCGGATTCATGTTCTGCCATGACCCAATTCTTTAATTATTTCAAACTTCTATGTATATCGAATATCAAGCTCGAGGGACAAGGCTGCGAGAAAGTTAGAACCAACGCTTTCTTTCATATATACAGAGTGAATATACCTGGAAGAATAATAAAGCGGGTCTAAAGGCACTCGCCCTCGGTAATTGGATATTTCAACACCCTTTGGTGGAAGCCTAAAAGCTTTAAAACGATCGTGGTAGAGTACCAAACTCTAATTGTACGAATGCGAAAGATGTAACGTTTTTTTCGAATGTATGTTTTGGTTGGCTTTCCTGTGGGCGGCACAGCCTTTTCGTACCTCGCGATAAGCTCCCCAGCTTCTGATATGTATGTGAATGGGCTGTGCTGCACGGGACTTTTGCTGAAGTTTGTATATGTAAATGTAAGATGTAAGATGTACAAGATATGAAGATAAGATATACAAACCATTCACGACACCAACAGAGAAAACAGAGAAAGTGAAGTTAGAAGAAGATACCTATTCATAGGTACAAACAAACATTGCTATCGCCAACCGGAGCTAAGAATCCTGGTCGAAAGTCATCACTTCCTTCCCTCCCTCCCAACGTTGTATCACGACCCGTCCCTCCAGACGAACCGGACCTTTCATCTGAAAGTATCCCAAAAGCTGGGGCTGGATTGCCAAGAGCGCTTTAGAACCTAGACGCCCCCAATAAAAGACGTGAAGGATACCACATAGCACCAATCACCTCTTCTCATTTTCGCCACATCTAATCTCAAAATAGATCGGATTAGGAAAGGTGGAAGCGAATCGAATGTGTATGCACAGAAATAACTTCTGGATAAGCGCGTACTGAATCTCTGATCATATATACCCTTGTAGGTTGGTGAGCGTTTCAGATATCGCGAATAGATTGATGTGATTGGGGGTTGGAATTGGAGTTGGGAAAGAGAAGGTGTGTATTTCTGGTACAGAAGAATGCCATGGAATTTGAGGCACTCAAAGAGAATCCAAATAGTAAAATATCAAAGTCATGTTCTTTGAAGCTTAGTTTTGACGTATGCAATAGTTCGTTGATAGGGCTGAAATCCACCAAAAGGTGTCGATTCAGTCCTCGTGGCATGTTTCGCCAATGTACACTGTACAAGAGTGGGTTGAGACATTCATCGTAAACAACACCAATGATATTGAATTGAAAAAAATGTGATAGACATAATCTTGAAACGTGATTGATAGGAGAAACCAAGAGGATCTAGAATCATTCTCAGAGAAAGGGAAAAATAATCTGTCATACTTATGTACAGCCATTTTTCAATCGTTCTCCAATATAGGTGTGCGTTTGAGTACTCTCAACATTCCTGATGGTGACGGGCAAAAATCCCAAGTGTCCGCCCGCCTTCAAAATTCTTCATGAATACCACTTGCGGTAATATCATCAAATTTCCTTCTTAAGAAATGTTCCTGTCTCTACGACTTCGCCGCATCATTTCTGCTTGCCTTGATCATAAATACTTCATGAAGCTCCATCTTGTTGTGGTGATTGATTATATTGGAGAGTAAAAATTTCTTTTGTTGTCTACCTAGGTAGATTTTGTACTCAGATTGCAAAACTAACTATCGTCTGAACTACGAGTGTACAAAGACTAGTTAGCTATACCGAGATACCTAGCCAATGAATGATGTGTACTGGTTCGAATAAATTTAATTCATCCATTCTTTTTGTGTCGCATTATTGATTGCTTAATTTCTCTTTTCTAGATTTCTCTAGCTCTTCCATGAACCGCGAGATCGATTACTTCTGACTGAATACACACAGGCATTGTCAGACAATGTCAAACATCACAGCAGCTTGTTCGAAGACGATCACAAAAGACATCAGAAAGAAAGATTAACAACCAATGCCGATATTCAATTTATATAGGTATCTAGGTCTATGTATATTCTCAAGCTACGTGGATACAATTTATTAAGTAAAATCCGTTAACCCAGGCACCAAAGCTAATCAAAAACTAATCCGACCCATCCAAAAAACCAAATGAACAATTAAAATAAAATTAAAGGTAAGAAATTAGAAGAATTAAACAAACAATCCCTCTTCAACCAAACTTCCCACATCTCCTCCCGCTGCTCTGATAGCTTTCAGCGCCGCCTGCGATAATTTTCTTCTCTTCTCCATTGCTTCTTTCTCTCGTCTCGCTTTCGTCTTACTTGATCCACTGGGTGCTACTCCAGTCAATATCTTGCGACTATCATCTGGCGTATAATTAACAAAATCCACCATGCCGCGTCCCGAAGTAGGTGTTCGCGGAGATGTATTTCTGTTCTTTGATTTCCGTTGTTTTCGCACGTGGAACGTAGGTGAGGATTTGGGAGAGGGCGATTCGGACCCGCTGGATCCGGTGCGAGTTTTGCGGGGTCGCGGATTGGAGTAATGATGGGAATGGGAGTGTTGATGCGACTTGCGGGATGAGGGGGAGTGATGGGAGTAGTGTGAATGCGAGTGTGTTCGAGATGCTCCATTGTGAGTGTGATATGGTGTGTGAGGTTGGGGTCCTCCTCCATTGGTACTGGTGTTGAAGTATCCTTGCTGAAGCATAGGGGAAGATTCTACGACGAATGATTGTTGGGGCATACTTTCTGGCATGGATATCATTAATCCTTGCGCCATGTTCATTTCATTGCTATTATATGAAAGTTCATTTTGCAAATGGAAAGCAAGGTTTTTGGTTGCCCTTTGAGAATTTCGGTGAAGCGTATTCGGTGAAGGTTGTGCCATTGGTGTTGTTGCCGCGTGGTTCCACCAGAGAGAGTTTCCGTCAGCTTCTACTTCAACGGGGTACCCAGATGAGGCTCCAATTGAGCTGAAATTTGACCCTGGTACATGTGACCATGAGGCTGATACTTGTTGAGATTTTGGAGTTATAGGATACATTGATCCATTTGACGACGATTGATGATATCTCATTTCTGGTGTATTTTTATTGTCCAGGTTGGGTGTTGAGAGTGGTGTGTTGTAATCCGTAGGTATGGATGGGAATTGTAAGTCTTGCGGCATACCGGTCCATGAATCTTCAGAAACATTTGTTTTCTGAATTTTCTTCAACGATGAGGTATTTTTAGAAGCATTGGACATTCTAGCCGATTGTGGAGGTGACATTGGGGATTGATGTTGAGGATTGAAACCAAATTTCGAAGAATCCAAAGTCAATTTTCTCCTCATTGTTTCCCGACTCATTTTTCCAAGACTCGATGAGCCTCGTGGCATATTTGAAGAATTTTTATGCGATTTTCGGATAGGACTTCGGAGAGATTTCTCAGATTTTGTGCTCACTTTCTTCAAGGTGTTGGCAAGTGCTTCAACACGACTCTTCTTTCTAGTTGAAGCAGCGGGTGCTGGTGTTGTTGGAAGAGATGGGTGAGACCATGCTTCTATTTGAGGTGGTTGCAAAGAGATATCTTCAAGGCTGAGAAGATCAGAGTCAGATATTGCGGCTCTGCCAGAAAGTTCTGCATAGAAAAGATTATCTTGTGTGCCGTCTGGTGAGGCTGAGACTTGGGCGAAAACCCATGGATCGCCTTGCCAATTGGCTTCAATGTCCAGGGCATCAGCATCGTGTAAAGATCCTAGTAGTGTCTCTGAATCTTGATCTTTGCTATCTGATGAGTCTTCTGAAGATTTCGGCTGGGGAAGGTCATCATCAGCATCATTGGACGGACTGAATGTAATAAATTCGTCGAAAAACGCGTTGTCTAATTCGTCAAAGTTATTTGTGAATAATTCCGATGACTTTCCAACATTCGGAGGAGGAGACATGTTGGGCTTGGTGTGAAGAGGCTGAGTGGTAAGGTATGAACGTGCCTGAGTATACAGGTAAAGTTAGAAAAAGTACAAGTATGATAGGCTAGAGGGAGAAGCAGAATATGCAAGTCAAATGCCAGATGTACGATGATGTAGGTGATGAAGCAATCAAGACAAAAATGTCCAGGAGGGGATATTTATGAACAGGTCAGGTGTCTACCAGCCTTCTTCATTATATTATACGCTGTGCTCATTGGAATGAAGTATATTTGCGTGACATACACGTGATTGTGCACTCTGCACCGTCCTTAAACATCGTCTCGAATTCCCCGGGATGGCAATACGTGCCGATACTAGCCATTTCATGCCGTTCTGTGCATGTGTTTGCCGATGCGGAGCTATCTCGTTGGGCGTGGGAATGCAGTACATTCTTGGAGATGGATAGGCGAAAAATCCTCGCCTCGGTTTTGGATAGAAGTGAAAGTGATGCAAACGTTTAAGAAATTAAATATAGACGGAAAAGAGCTTGCAAAAGTAATTGGAGAAACCACAGCATAATATAGCTACCCCCCCATAGCTCTATGAAAAGTTTTTCTCTTTGATCGACTCGAGTTCCTTTGCGAAGATGGAGCTGTCAAGTTCCTCAAAGAAACCCATATGGCTTGAGGGGATTCTCTCAAAGAATAAAGAGATGAGAACCTGTAAGATACACAATTTTGCGTCGGCTACAAACACATTGTGACCGAGGAATGTATGGCGTCGATCAATTCCTTGATAATTGGTTAATAAGCTTTTTGGAAATATTTCTTTGTGGCAGACTTGAGGGGGGGTGTTTCATTTTACATTCCAGAGCAATTTTCGCGAATTCTTCAAGATGGCGCGATGAACTTTTTGCGGTTTTTTTTTGCATTTTCATTTCCAGCCTTTGGGGTTTTTGTAAGTTTGGTTGCAGAATTTGAAGAAACTGAGGAAATTGAGGGAGGGAAGAGGTAGTTATAAGAAGGGTTGATGTAAAAATAGAGAGGAATTTATCATGACATCTATCTGCATGATATTTGAGCTCCACTTACATTTCATTCTTCGGGAGTTTCATATCTTATTGTACCTGCATATGCATATGCAAGTCTGACTTCCCACGTACCCCTCACCACTTACCCCTCAATAACCCACATACATACATACACACTATCCCAATTCCCACATGAGCGCTCCGCAAGGGCAAATCGAGCTCTCACACGCCTTCGAAAGACTTCTCGAAGAACGTCTGGAAGCCGAACGTCTTCGTCGCGATCTAATTTTCTACTGGCACACTCTCATTCTCGAGTGCAAAAAGCGCGGGAAAGAAATCGAGCGGACTTTTTACCAGGCAGATAATTGTGGTGAAACGCCTTTTTCAAGCGAAGAAAACTATTGTACCGGGAACTGGAACGCCTGATACGTTGACTGACGTATCTGGATTGGAGAGATTGCCGAGTCCGTTGAGTCCGGTGGTTAGCGCTAGGAAAACGAACTTGAGGGCGGAATTTGGGACAGAGAGAATTTCGAGGAGACTGGAGGGTTTGTTGAAGAAGTATCAGGGGGTTATTGGTGTGAACTTCTTGAAAGGAAAAGAATAAGCATAAGAAAGGAATAGAGGGAATGAGTAGAGAAGGTTTTTGTTGGCAATCGGTCTCTTCTTGTTATACGTTGGGTGCTGGAAGAGGGCGAAGCGAAGCGGAATTATTGAGAAGTGAAAAAGAGCTGTTGAGGAAAAGTAAGGAATTTGTTGTGAGAAAGTGGAGGGGCAGGGAAAAAGTTCTAAAGTTGGTTTTCAGAAGGGGTGTTTGATTCGATTTTGAGAGAAGCGGATATCTCTTTGCTTGGAAATCTTTGGCTTGCAATCGTTTCGTTACCCAATTAGCTTTTTACGAGCGCTCTCTATCATACCGGATTACTACCCTCGCTACAATATATTCTCATAAGCTGCCTACTCACAATTTCCCGCATCACCAATCATCATACACAAAGACAAAATCACAATGTCTAATATGCTTTCACTCCCCAGAGAAAGTATCACCCTAATTTTGCACACCATCATTCGTTATCCGGCACAGATACGAACATGGCTATTCGTCCAATGCACACTCTTGAGTCTTGGGCTAGGAGATTTTGCTGAAGCACAGGCTGGAGCTGGTATGTAATAGTTGTGAAAGGTCAGACTTAGGTTCGTGTTTACGACTTGCATTGTCGGCAACGAAAGGAAAAGGGGGTCGGTTCTAGGGCTTGGGTGATTTTGCCGAGGCGGGGGCTAATCTTTGTATTGTTGGATGAGAGTCGTAATATGTAATTGAGGGATTCAAGAATGTATCTAGATGGTTTAGACGAAGATTAGATAAGAGTTCAGATATAAGATGAATGTGGTTATCAGCGTTATAGATTAATATGGTTGGTGGGCTGAGGTATTTTGAGATCAGAATATATGATGAATATGGAATATGGAATATGTTAATGATAATTGCCATACCGTACTTTGCCAACTAATATCATACATGAATGGTATCCCTAATCACAGTGAACAGACCAATAGAAAGTCATCTTCCTAGGTGGTTACAATCCTTTGACCCCCATTTCATGATCGCTTCTGATCAGTCTGAAAGATAGGTGGCATGAAAGCCATTCCCTTACCAGATACACTACTAGAACCCAATTCCACATCATGCACGCCTCCCGCCGATCTCGAGATAACATGTTTCCTCAACATAGCCAAAATCTCACTATTTTGCCATCTTCTTGGTACCGGTCTATAAGCAGGCTTAAAAGTTCCAATCGTTTGTGCCCATTCTCCACTTCTGGGAGCACCGTTTCTCCATGCATCTGTCTCTAATTCAGGACCGGTTTGTTTCCCAGGATCCGTGCCTTGTGCTACTGGTGATTTCTTTTGATCGGTACCCATAGCATTGATTGTAGCTCCTTCGGCTCCAAGGCCAGCTCCTTCAGCTGTTTCACGAGATGTTGGGGAGGGTTCTTGGGTAACCCAGTAATAGATATCCCAATCATTTTCGTCGAGAAATTGATCATATTGTACCATTTGTGCAGCGGTCATGTTAGGAAGGTGAGCATCGGCAAAGGTGGACATTAGCAGATCGGATTCGAGAGTTCCTCGTTTGCGCGATTGATCTATGAGAGATTCTGTTAGCAGAGTTCTGAATCTTATAGGAAGATAGGATCAAGGTAGATTTTGTGGCGAAATGTCGAAAAACATACACAATAATCGCGCTCTCATCTTCTCCTCATGCTCTCCATCCCTTCTCAATGGCTCAACTCTGAACTGTGCTCCCTCCATTTCTCCAACAGCCATCTCTCTGTTAACACCACTTCCATGGCCATCTTGAGTGCCACCAGTCATCCTCTCCGTGTTCTCTGGTACACTATCCTTTGGAGTGAAATTCCTATCCACACTCGTTATGAACTCTGGTGGAACCTTTCCCGCACCTGCACTAGGCATTTCGTTTACAATAGTAGAATTGGTGTTCGTCATATGTGGATTTAATGGCTTTTCCATTTGATGTTTGCGATATTCTTCAGTACCATCATGCTCTTTTGCGTTGCCGGGATTGGCATTTGCAAATCGGAAAGTTGTACTGGAAAATGGTCGAGAAGTATTAAGCATTGAGGCACGGAAAGCCCGACGGGCAATACGTAAAGATGTCATTTTAATATGAATTGATATGTAAATAAATTGATCTCGAGGCTCGTGAAGCAATTGGAAAAATCTCAAGCTGGGGAGGATATCATGCACGGCGTGGGGAAGTAAATATGGACGTCATGGACTTTTGACATGCGGCCGCATCATGTGACATGCCGAGGTCAGAGCTTCAGGTGCGATTCTTTCCGACTGGCAATTCCAATTCCAATTTCGAATTCCCAATTCATAATGAACTGAAGAAACCAATTGATACAGTGACATTGTAATGATCCCGGGCATTGCTAGTCCTATAATGATAATATGACCAAGTGGAAAATATCGTCGCTGACTCTGCAGTTTGGACCAGCAGATGTTATATAGGTTATGAGGTTTTAGCATTTGAAAACAATTCAATTCGTCGAAACAAATTCAACATTTCAATTGATTTGAAGTTTGTATTCAATTGATTTGAAGCACGTGGATGAGGAATTAATTAAGACTACTTTAAGACCACAAGGGCTAGTTTCAGTTACAAAATCTTGAGCTTTAAAATTCGAAGCAGGGAGGAATATCAAGTGGTTTCCCATATTTGCCCTCAACCCCCTCGCTCTTACCCTCACAGTATGGGGGAGCCATGCAGTGGCCTTCAAAAGCAGGGAAATTTGAACTTGCCCATCAAAGAATGCTTAACCGCGTACCCTATCTTCATTGGTATATGATCATATTGTCTCTTGCCTAGACTATTTCCCTGATGGTGCTTTGGAGCTCAAGTGAATCATACAAGTAGTTTAGAGGAACAAAATTCTGATTGTTCACTACATTGGATATAACTGCGAAATCAACTCACGCAAATCTTTGTATTGTTTTTGAGAATTTGTTACTTTTGAAGCATCACGAGCTCAAGATCTGGTCGAGATATAGATCATCTTGTTACTTTGTTGTTGTGAACAATTGGAAACTGCATTTTGAGAGTACCGGCTCGCTTATGACTCCCGATTTTTGACCAAAACCCTTTTGATTGTATTAATCAATATTTACAATGTGTCTTCCGCCTAGATTCACTGCTGTAATTAAAGAAAGAGCAGGCGTTATGTGCCCCCGTAGTAATAATGGTGGCGATGAGAGGAAGCGACGAGTTGTGCTTAATTTTATTACTTCCACAAGAAGTTGACTGGTGAGGAATTCCAATGATCTTTATTCCTACATCATTCTTAACTATCTTGCTTCCCTTGATTTCCCACTTCAGACCTCGCTGAAATACTTGGTGTCTTTAACTATATCTCAAAAATCATCAATATACATGTAAGCTTTACATCCGTAACATCAACCCCTTCCTGATATTGAATACTGAACTTCTAGTCATAAACATGTGTCGACTCATCAAACCCATCACATACTACTATGACGACGACCAAGCATTCCCACCACACATCTACCTCAACCCAGATCCAGAGCAATGGGAAGGATGTTTAAATCATCACAATGTAGACCTTCGCGGAAAAGTATTCTCAGCACCAGAGAGAACATGTTACGATGCACCCGATCAAGCACCACTCGCGAAATCAATATGTCCCGATTGCTATTCTAAATGGGGAGCTGAGCGTACCGCCATCATAAATGCGCATGTGAAGGCTATTCTCCAACGCATGGATGAACTCTGTGGGCTTTTCAACAACCCCAGCAAACTCAGGGCGGAAATGCGTTCTTCGTGTCACTTGGTTTTCGACTTTGCGATGCATATAGAGATGCCCGCGCCTGATGAAAAGTATACTCAGTATCTGTCGCCTCCAAAAGGCACCGGGAAGGATAACACATCCAGTAGTACTAAGTACTTTGATCAGCTCCTCCAAGTGGATATCCCGCAGTGGCGGAAATTGGCGGATATTATAAGACGTGGAAATAGCGAGGTGAAAGATGAATCGTTGGCAGAGATATTTGGCCAGCTTGCTCGTTGTCAGATTGAGTATTGCGTGCTGCATACGTTGAGAGGATGATGCTCATAGATAGATACATGAAATTTGAGATAGAGCATGGTTGGTGGTGGAACATCGTGTGATACTTGAAGACATTCTTGTTATCCAGCGCTTTGGGGGTTACATTATTCTGGGGTTTTATCACTTGGTCGACGGCTTGGATTGTTATTATAATTCAACCTTAGCATTCACACCATGACGTTTGAGATTCCATTTCTACTTCCCGTGATCTAATCTTCGTATTTTCATTCTACTCTGACTCAATACTGAAAGTCACATGTAGTAAGTACATGTGGTGAAAGTTCGGGTGAGTCGAAACTACGATATGAGTCTTGTAGCTCGCTCCTAGAGATTCATCGATATGAATCATGTTTCTCCGATGACTGGCGAGGATATTGGCTTCCATACCCAATACCCAGAATTTCCTCTCTCAATTTGCTTTTTTTTGTTCTTCAATACAACCAAACACCTGCTCAATATCAACACTAAAATCTTCAATAATTCGATAATTGAAAATCAAACATAATACAACAATTCAAGACAAAGTCACTTTACTGTCAGACCTCAGAGATAGTTCTTCTAATACAGGTAATATGAATATTCTGTTTTACAGAATTGAATCGTCGCTGACTTTTTCTCAAGAGGAATCTTACAACTGCAATTATGTGTATAGCCGCCAACGCCGCTAGATACTACTGCGATAATGATAGGGTTCATCACAGATATCAGCCCAATCAATGGTGGCACGCATGTGATCAGCATCCGAATCCGGCACTTCGAAACTCACGCTACCTAGAAACACCACAGGAACCGCCATGTCCTGTTACTCAAAACCCCCCTTTGCCAGATGATGTTTGTCCCAAACACCGGCTGGATTACGGTGATCTACGAGCCAACAAAATACAGAGCCACATTACCGAACTACTCGCACTGGTGCTTGAAGCTGGCAATAACCGTTGTCTCGCTACGGGAGCCCCGAACATAAGAGAGCACATTTTCTTCGACGTCGAACGATATTCCGACTATCTCCAACCGACACCGCGGCCAGGCGATCAATACAGAAACTATGGAGACCATCCCAGTCATCCGCCACGTCCATGGCGTTTGAATCCGGAACAAGATCGCTTGTACAATTATTCACCCACTCTTAGGAGACTGGAAAGAAGTTGGATCCGGGACGACATTGAGTCCGAGTACAACAAACCTCATCCTAATAGGGATAAGATGACCTGCCTTGTATTTCAACTTTTTCGTGCAAAGATTGAATATCAAGAGGCGTGGGCGACGTTGAATGATCCTCGTCTTCCATAACTTTAGCTGCAACCCAGCAGCTATATGAAGAGTTAGAGTCAACTCATTAGTAATGACTCAGTGTACAATAGATTAAGCTATTAAAGCTACCTATGCATGGTTTTGGACAGTAGATAGAAAATAAATTTACTCATCCACAAAACTTTATTCCAACTTCCCATGCACTTGGATGAGTCGAAACTACGATATGACTCCTGTAGCTTGCTCCTAGAAGGATTCATCCTAATGAATCATATCTCTTCAATGACTAATAAAAACATTGGCTTCTTTACCTAATACCTAGAAGCTCCTTTCTTAATCAACTTTTTCTGTTTTTCAATACAACTAAACGCTTACTCAGATATCAACATTAAAATTCTCAATAATTCAACGATCGAAAATAAAACATACAATACTCGAAGTTTATCTCGCTCTCATTGCAACTCATACTCCATTTCACCAATACAGACGACAATACAGTTTTACTTAAGGATTCATCACTGGCCCTTTCTCAAGAACATCTTACCAGTACAATCATGTGCATTGCCGCAAACACCACGAGATTCGTCTGTGATGACAATATTGATTCTACTTGGCATAGATACGCCCATATCCAGGAATGGACAGGATGCCTTAATCATCCTGACAGAAGACTCCACGGCAGAAAATTCAAAGAAGATAAACATCTCAAGCCTTGCTCTGATACACCCCCAGTTCCCATCGCAACAAGCCTTTGTCCCGACTGTGCTGCCTCTCACAGCAAGTATCATCAAGAAGTTATCCTGTCCCATATTTCACGCATAATGTACAGAACTGCAGAAGTCAAGGACTATCTATGCAATTTTGAAGATCTCCATTATGAGGTCGAGGGGTTGTACCGCCTTCTCAAGAGGTGTGACTTTTATACATATTTGGAGCCCGCTCGGCTCGGAGAGCAATATAGGAACGGCGCAATACCTGCGAGAGATCCGAATTATAAATTATTCGCATCATTTTTTTCACGCAAGAGCACCCAATACTCAGCTCAACTAAGCAATGTGTACTTAAAGGAGCTGTTCCGCGAAGCAGAGCACCAGGAATACAGGGGTAGTCCTGTTTGATCGCATGAATTCGATGAGAAAGTTGTTTTGTCAGATAATCGGGGTAGTAATTGAGATCTCTCGTTTGCAAGGTGAAAGTCTTCGAGCGGAAGATGAGGAGGATCGTGCTGAGAAAGAGAGACTTCAGCGTATTGAGGCAGCAAAAAACCCAGAGCAAAGACGCGAGGATGATGCGAACCGTGAATGGCTAGCTAGAAAGGACGAAGAAGCTTCTCGTCCAAGGCAAATGACACAGTATTCTACGCAGAATTTGTACGCTCGACAGGCGGGAGGTCCATCGAGCGCTCATCGATCTCAAACTCGACATCTCCAACGCTATCGGGAAAGTTAGAGTCAACTCATTAGTGATGACTCAGTGTACAATACATTAAGCTATTAAAGCTATGCATGGCTTTGGATGGTAGACAGAAAATAAATTTACTCATCCGCAAAACTTTATTCCAATTTGCCATATATTATTCTAGAAAGGATTCATCGTTATGAATCCTACTTCTGCAATGACTGGTAAAGATATTACTCAATACCTAATACCCAGAGAATTCCCCATGGATTTGTTTTTTATCCTTCTTCCATACAACCAAACACTTGCTCATATATCAATACAAAACTTTTTAATAACATCGAAAACCAAACATAATACGATAGTTCAAATCAAAGTCTATTTACTATCAGATCTCAAAGATAGTTCTTCCAGTACAGGTAATGTTTTTGTTCCATCTAAGAGAACCATCGATAGAAAAACCCCAAGACTTACTTTACTTATAGGAACAATCATGTGCCATACCTCCCGCACCATCAAATTCCTATGTGATTTCGAAGATCACGCTCGTCCCGGCAAAACGCATGTCTATTCCAAGACACATCATCTCGCCCAGGAATGGCAAGGATGTGACAAGAACCCCGATCCAAATCTCCGCCACATAAGCTTCTTTGAGACCGAGACACGAAGGCCTTGTAAGAACAGTGTAAGGGTTTTGGCTTCCAAAATTTGCCCTGAGTGCAGTGCCAAATACGGGAAATCCACCATCGACCGAATAACCTCCCACGCGAGAACCATAATCTACCTCTTGGAAAAAGCTGGCGGTATCGATACCGAAATTACTGGCCCGGAGCTAATAAAATGGGAGTTGTTTTCCGACGTCGAAAAATACCACAGTTACCTGAGCGATGTCGCCCACACCCACACATACGATCAGAAACATCCAGACCATCCACCAGATCCGGAGAATGATAAAGCGAGCGAGCGAGAATGTTGGAATAAGCTCATAGTATTGAAGAACAAAATACTCAGTGAAATTTATATTCAGGAGAGGAAGCCTGGTGGCGGCGATAGAAGAATCATAAGAGAACTTTTTTATCAGCGGGTCAGGGCAAGGATTGAGCAACATAGAATCTACATACGATGGTCAATAAAAACCCAGGACAGAGCTAAAAATTGGCCCCGGCAATCTAAAAGTTGGCCCCGGAAATTTAACTTATGCGAGCTCAACTGATTATAGCAACTCAGTGTACAATAGATTAAGCTGCAACAGCTCCGCATGGTTTTGGATGGCAGGTAGAAAATAAATTCCCACATCCGCAAAATATTGTTCCAACTTCCCATACACTCACTATTGTGAGACTGTGGAAAACACACATCTGTGATACATCACAACATTTCCTAATGACTTGTGAGAATAGAAATCCCTTACTACTCTCTCTTTCCAAGTTTGAAGATTCCGTACACTATACGGATAGTAAAGCGAGGTAAACCTAAAATCTCCCCTCCATCTACCTCTCTCATCAACCAAGAACTCAGCCCTTCGGTTTTCTTTCCCAGTTCATGGGTTTTGTGGATGACTCGATATTTCCACTTCTCATTTCCATTTCCATTCTTATCCATGATCCATTCAAGAATACACTTCTCGATGCCTACTTCCCCTCTCCTGATATTTTCTTCTTATCAAATCCCTAAAAATCAAAATCAAACATGACTTAGTAGAATTCCACACCTCAATTCTCACATCTTCCTACCTCAACCATCAGATCAATACTCCGTTGATGGCAATTTTCGCTCCGCACATGAGAGAAGATTTATATATCTTCCATCAAAAACCCAATTTCTTCAAAAACTTCCATTTTCCCCATCCCAGAGAAAAACAGAAACCTCTCCACACCCAACAAACCATCTATCTATCTTCCTTTCCTATCCCAGAAAAGGGTGCCAGAGAAAGCATAATCTATATACCTCAAGACACAAAAAATCTATACATAAGTTCGAAAATTTGAAAGTTTAGAAACAAGAAACCAATAGGAAGAGATCTTAAAAGACGGAATATTTTTTCAAGTGTACTATGCGCCATCTGTTATTTCACACCTTGTGAAATCTACACACGGGACAGTGAGAGAAAAATCAACGTAGGAATACAAGTCGGGATGGGATGTAAGGGATTGGATATCGTGAGGGATGATGAGAATACAACGTAGGTATATCAAGAATTTATGTGTGGGAGTTTGAAAACATGGTAAAGTAGATGAGATAGAAAAGAAGCGAGAAAGAGGGAGAGAGAGTTACTTTCTCGATTTTTTGATGATTCTGATGGAGTTTGAATTTGAGAATACAGGGGATTTATAATTGTCAAATCTGCACGCTGTTTGATAGTCGCTAAATCCTCTCCTCAGTAGTCCTCGTCGCCACCCCTAAGGCTTATTCTCCTATCGTTTCCTGGTTACCTACTCGATAAAAGGTGTCTCGTGTACTTTCTCCCCACTGCTCCTTCTCCATTCCCAATTTCGGCTCCGACACACCATCTGCTATGAGTCCATCATATATTAACATCCAACGCAAGTCTCCATGCCCGTTTCTCTGCCCAATGTAAAATTTCTGAAGGTGATACCGATGCACGTCTGAGTCGAACCCAATTCTCAATAAGCGGCCTTTCTTCCGTTGCTAGATCCCGGTGATCTGCATACTCAATTACGAGTCGGAACTGAAAATTGGCAAGAGCTTAAAATCCGTTCAAACTCGAGAATTTCATCATGTATACGTTCTCACCGAAATAAAAGAATACCGAGTACGTTGCTGTAGACGAAAAGGCATGGATGATCGGAAAGCGTTTGGTAAGGGACTTTGGCCATGGCCGACAGGCGGAGGGAACAAATGCGAGCAAGGGAAGGATTTTGAAAGGTTCCCATGATGTTCGATAGATTGGCGAAGCTGATATTCCGAGGAAGTGTTGTCGAGTAGAATACCGCGACAAAGATTTGATCAGAACAGCTGAGCCTTGGCGTGGATCTGACTTGCTGAAAGTATTGCGCGAGAGTTGCAAAATGAAAACCTGTGAGCAGTTAGCCAGAGTCGCAGTTTTCATTAGTCCAGTGAACATACGGTCAAAAGAAGCTCTCAATAGAGACGCAAAAAGCTGGCATCACTGTCCTCCGACCGCTGGTACATCCTGATATGCTTTTATTGAAAACTGAAGCTATCTAAAAGATAGTAATTTGACAGCCTCCAAAGACGTCAAATTAATTCATCCCGCAGCTACACAACCATGCATACGAGGATAAACCTTTTAACGTCGCTGCTCAGGACTAGCCTTGAAAATGCATTTGAAGAATTTAAGTGATTATCACAAGAAACTCCATGGCAATATCTGAGGCGAGCCGTTTTATATCATGCCCAGGATAAGAAAAGAATTGGTTACCACGAACCGCGTCGACACAAATAAACTTGTGAAGAACATGGGTGAAGCCCTCCGAGGCCTCCCTCCGCCCCAGATGCAATGAAGCCAGTCGAGAGCAGGGGTTAGGAAAGAGGTTTATCTCGAAAGGTGAGGCATCGAAAGTAATCATTCATAGATACCAAGCGATTGGATCGAATGGAATAAATGGAATGAAACTTTGAAGTCGGTGTGAGTTACTTGCGGGTTGGATTTGCTTGTCGCTACGCTTTGCTAGAGTTTGACTCTCTGCAGCTGATTGATTCTTAGAACAATGATGAAAATTGGGGCCAAATGATATAAATATCAACGGCCCCGCGCGGTGATATAGTATTGTACCAATCTGCGAAAAGAATATGGCAAGTTTCTGTGAACGATCATGTTAGTTTCCATTCATAGATAAAGCTCCAAAGCACAAACAACATAGTTCCTTTCAGCTATCTCGAGATCACTCCGATCTTGAGATGGGAAATAATGTGAAGACCGTGGTTCAATAACTCCCATCAAGATACCAATCTTTATGCTATGAAAAGTACGATGGATATGGATATCTCAATTCGATGTACGGAGCAAAGAATCATGCAACATAGACTGACTATCAAGTGAAATGGGAGAATGGGAATGGGTATGGGAATAGAATACTCACAATACCTGTTGTTGTGTCGAAGAAAGAAAGAAATCACGACCACGCTGACCGTCGTGCTTATGAGATGAAGAAAAAAGATCGCTAGTATCGAGAAATTTGGTTTCATGCTTTTTTGACATAGAGCTCGTAGCTCAGCAAAGGTGAGCTTCGAGAATAATCACGTGACACAAGCCTGAATTTACTTTTTTCACTTTTTGAACCCTTTTACCATTGGAAATATCATGCATAGACTATTGGAATAAGACCATGTATTCTTTATTATTGCTTCAAAGTCTTAAAATCGAGTATGAATGGAGATACCTATTTACAATTACAGATATCCAAATCACGAGTGTGAATTTGGTCTTCTTGTGCTTTGAAACTTATTGTCCTCCCATGTACCAACGAGCGGAACGATTTCTTCTTGAAATTTGACAGGATCAATCAATGGTTACAAGGTGAACCAGAAATTTAAGAAATGAGCAATTGGCCAGATCACTTGCAAACCAGCACCATCCCATCACACTTTCTCCAACTCATGGAAATGATCAATGTCAATAATGACAACACTGTCTATAATTTCCTGACGTCAATTGCTCTTCCATGTTTTTATATCAGAGGATCTTTAAGGACAAGGAAATCTAAAGACCCAGGTCCTAGAAATCTCGTGGTTTCTCCTCATATGTTCTCCTCGCCCCTTGCTTATTATTTTACCATCTTGGAAAAACAACGGGGAAATCGAATGAAAATTATACACGATTTTCGTCACTGGTAGGGATAGTATTTGGTTAATTTCCGATTTATTGACGAATCATATTGTGGATTTTCGGATCTTATAAATCATGAAAATCGTTGGAATGGAAGGTCTCAAGGAAGACATGGAAGAAGGTATGGATTGACGAATCAAGTTTCATTTCTAAATGAGATATTCTGAATTGGAATTGAATGTTGTGAAGTTGCGAAAAAAATATTGTTGTGTGCAAATGTTTTTTTGTGAGGGGTCAATCA